GGTTCCTCTACTACTTGCAAGAGGAAGTTGTATACAGTATTAGCAGCCCCCAAAACAATCTACACATTAACCACACACCATATATATGAGTATGTATAAAATACATAGATGTATTAGAAAACCCTTTCCATTTCATATGCTAAATTCACTCAAAATCATTCAGTATTCTATTTAAATAGATAACAAACGATTCTGTATGTTCCACATGAATCTTCTCCATCTGCTTAGAATGCTACATCCACTCCTTATACCCATCATATCCTTTCCAGAGTTCTGTCTACTTACTCCTTCCATGGAATTCTTTCCATATATTTTTATTACCCTGTTGCCCTCCTTTTACGCCTCTTCCACTGCCACTATATTTATTCTGCAATATAGTACTGCAGATAGGCCAATACTGAAAATTGTGTTCAGATGGAGCCATAATGATGTTTTTCTTGTTCTGTTTCTATTATTTTTTTAAACCAGTATTTTACATTCAGCTGATAACTTTCACAAAACTCTCCTAACACAATCTCTCTCCTGAGTAGAAATAGTCAGTTCAAAGCCTACTACTGCATGTAAGATGTTAAGTCTTTTACATTGAGTGGTGTGTGAAAAGAAATAATACTAAAAAAAAATCTAGAAAAACCAGATCCAGTCTACTTCAGGGTAAAACTGAAGTTTCCCATAATTTTTTTCATTCCCTGCACAGGGTGCCTTTCTGACAACCTTCATCCTGTTCCACAGGAGTCAGACAGTAAATTGTGCAGTTTTATTACTACCATTTCCCCCCCTACTCTGGCCACATAAACTACACATCAGTCTATTAGAAGTCAACCCATTTCAGTCAGCCACATAATGCAGCTTAACAGCATTTTTATCTGTACTTCACTAACAAAAGAGAAGGCATCATATTATCACTCTGTTCTTCAGGTTTAGGAAATTTGGAATTAGAATAAAGCAGAGTCAAGATGCTGATTTCAATGTAACAAAATAGCATAAACATTATCTTAACTCAAACTTCAGACACAATCTTGTTTGGGCATCTGACCATCTGAAGAGAGTAGGCCAAGGCTAAGTTGTAGGTAGGTGCTTGCTTTATTTATATGTGGGTTTATTCTTCAATCCCATACAAATAAATACAGAATTTTACATCCTAGAGAACACAGGGGAACACCAGCTTTAAAATGTAACAGCTAAACTGCTGAGGACAGAAGCCTATGCCTGCAGTTCATCAAGACTAGGATACAGGATTCAGAGAACAGGCAGGCTAGCAAATGAATAAGAACACTATTTGAGTAAAATTAGAAGAACATCTAAAAAGCCTTACAAACCAAAGATTTAAAACAGTGCCAATGAACAGACTGAATTGCTTCCTACAAAAAAGCTGCTTTGGAATATAATTACCAGAGGATGTAGCTGAGTATCCATTGCAGCCGCTGTTGTTTCAAAAACCTGCAAAGAATTTACAAGCTCCTGGGCAGGAGCATCTCCTTTTTCCAATAAGGACTTTCGGTCTGTTAAAAACAGAAAAGGGGTTCAGTTTAAGACTGACATACTGCCCCCAGCCTCCCAGCCCTCCCCCTGCTTAAATCAGAAGGCTGATTACCAAAATTATTTATGTGAATGTTGTTCCTTAATGAACCAACCATAGCATCCCAGAGATGTGGCAATCCTGTTGCCATTTCAGCACCAAAATGTTTAGCTATAGTAGATAAGGCAAATTCAGCTCCTCTTCTCTGTACAACATAAGGTTTCTGAGCCTAGAATTAAACAATTTAACAAACTGGAAATGACAGATTTAGGAATAGCAATTACTTTCAAGCAGGCTCCCACTGTTACATAGGCATTCTATTCTGAGTGTATATAGCTATTTACAACACATTTGCTAGTCCATTTTTTTCTTTGTAAGTTATTTACTTTATACAGGTAAAAAAAAAAAAAAACAAACCAGAACAACAACCAACCAACCAAAGGTCTTTTATAGCTGATTATTTAAATCCTGTAAGTACTGGGATTTGGCTTTTGCTGACACAGACCCATTTCAGCAAGAGGTTTTCCAACCGGGTCCAGTTTCAGAACCTCAGATATTGCCAATACAGGGACACCACAAGCAGTAACACACTAGCAAGGCTTCCCAAAAGCAGTATTTGTTTTGTTAAGCCCTTTCTCTTGCTCCCACCCTCATCAGAAAGCAGAATGGCTAAAAATTACTTCAGCGATTAAGAAGAAACTTCACAACACTGTTGAGGAATCACAGTCCTGACTGCATCTTATTAAAATGATGACATTTTATATGATAAAACAGTAACAAAAAATTTAGCATATCAAGTGTGGAAGTCATACATCCTAAAGCCAGTCATACTTCAAATACTGTTCTTAATGCTTCAGAGCATCCACTAACATGGGTAAGGACATAGCAGTTTAGGGAAATCCATTTGCATGGATTTGTTCTGAGATATTCATAGATTGTACTAAATGTAAAATATTTCAGGAGTTATTAGTATTCTTAATGACACACTGAAGATTTAAAGCATCTTTATCAACAAACATACGCTGCTTGCATCAAAATTTTATGCCAACTCTTCTCTCATGAGTAAAACCTGGACATCCTATTATAATGCTGTCAACTCCAGTGAATTCAGAAGTAATGTGGGGGGTGTGCGTGTGGATGTGCAAGTTGCAAATTCAAGTTTTTGAACTTTACCTCGTCAAGTTCTGTAGGAATGCTTCCACTACTGCCAGCAGGGAGATCTACAACTGGGGCTTTTGGAGCTTTTGGAGTAGGACCTCGCCGACTGGTGATAGCAAAAGCAGCTTTCTGATGTCTGTACAGTGTAATTATTCCCTTGTGCTTAGTAACTGTATGATGCATCCCATCTTTATCAGAGCTGGGCCCTGAAGGAAGAAAAAGAAGAGCTGACAATTTAGGCTGCTGTTTAGAAAACAGGCAGAAGTGATAGCTAGCTACAAGCCATCTGCAGATCAAAATGTCCTTAAAACTAAAACATGTCGTCGTTCTCAAGAATGGAAAATTTAAGTACAGCGCTACTCCATTCAGAGCACACTTACAGCCTTGGCATCAAACCTGAAGTGTGCAAACTGCTACACAAATTACTTAGAAGAAACAGAGGCAACAAAATTGCAGTTAAATATCAGAAGTTTGCACAAGGTTTTTTATGTAAGACATTATGTTCTAAAGTTTAAAAATAACCCTTAACTTCTGCGTCCTTTACAAACAGTTCGAGACTTCTATGATACAACAGCACATGCCATCAGTATTTTTGGATGTGCTGATGTTCCCATTTATGCTAATGAGCTTAATTTTCAATCAGACATGAATGTTACTCTAATCTGACACAGATGTATTCATTAAGAAAAAGTACTATGTATAATGGTCGAACCTTAAAGCAGGTTAGAATCTTTGACAGTATTAAGGTCTTAGTGTTGTTCATTCTATCTATAGGTTTTCAGCACAAGGAGCAGTCATTTAAAGAAAATCCATGACTGTAGGGTGCACAGAATTATTCGTTAATATCGAAGACTGTACTCAGCTTTTGTTATCTTATTAGCCCATGGAATGCAACACAACACAAGTCAGTCTTTTTTCTAACAGGCTACTCTAATTTCCATACTTATTCAATTTGAATGAAAAGCTTCATAACATATGTAAATGAAATGTAATCATAAGTGGATAATAACAGCAAATATCTGAAAACTGGGATGAAGGTGGTTTTTAACACAAATTTTCTGAAAACATTTCTATGCACATCATTAGTTGCACACAGTGTGTAGTTTAAGATACCTAAATGAAATAATTACTAAGAAATGAAGACTCGGTTGCTGGCATTTCAAAAACACTGAAAACAAGATTCACTCAAATACCCATTTTAACAGTTCAGAGAAAACCACACACATTTTTAAGAATCCTGGCAGTCTCAGGTATCATACCTTTTGAGTTTTCATAGCTGCTGCTCTGAGGCTGTGCAGGACATGCTGCCAGTGGGGTCAGATGCGGGTCCACACAGAGAGAGTTGCAGAGATTTTTTATAATCTTTGAGTTGGGACAAGGAGATCTTGTTGTACACTGCTGAAGTAACTTTGCTATACACGAAGCCACATAGTTTTGTACAAGTGTATTCTCCTCTTTTTTGATAGCTTCCATTAAGGGCTTTATAACAGGATTTAGTTTTTCTGGAAGTTGCTGCAAGTTCACAACTGCACATGCAGCAAATGTATGGACTCGCAGATGCAACACCTGCCATTCTTGATTTGTTTCTGTAACAGTCATTTGGACTTGTTGTCGTTTACTATCCAACTGTTGTAGAATTTTAGGATTCAAAGTAAAGGATGATGTTGCTTCATTGAAAACAGAAGTAACCTAATAAAAAGGAAGAAAAAAAACCCTTACAAATCTGTTTACTGTAAAATTTACTGTAAAAAGGGATATCCTTTGAAAACCATGGTTTTCTTGGCAGAGCACGAGTCACTTCACCAGGTATTATCGTTTCTAGTTTTCAAGAAATAGCAGGGAATGCTGCAAAAAGTAGTTTCTGGAATCTTGAACTGCAGCTCAAGGGAAAAAAATCAGGCATATTATGAACATTTTCAAGTCTAGATTCTGAAAGCTAAAAGAGGAGTTTATGTTCTCCTCCAAATTTAGATTGTCCTATTTCTGCCAGATATATCCAGATATTCTGGCAACGTGTAAGCACATGACAGATAAGCAAAGTAGAATATGCTATGGATACGTAAGGCCAGAAAGGATGTGCAAGGGCCCATGCATGAAAAAGTTTCTAAGCTCTTTTTCTTTTGATGAAAGAGAGACTTGGATAAAAATGTAAGGAAAAGGTCAGCAAAACCCAGTTGTTGCAAGACCTGCCATATGCTCCCGCACTCACAACTGGCTGACTGCTGTTGCTCAAACCTTTCATAGGAAACAAGTTAAAAGCAACATGGAATCATGGAAATGCTAAACTTATTCTACTGATAGGATAGTTAGGCCTCTAAGCACAGGAAAGATGACAGCTGTTGAGAGGGTTAGTCTGAGAGGGTTTTTTATTGGTTTTTGCCTTTTACTTTTAAATGCTCAGGTCACGTCTTTCAACAACAGGACTTGTACTGCTTTATTCTATAGATACCTCAAGTTCTACTTCACATGACCTTCATGACTGGAATGACCAAGGGATGCAAAAAATATGAATAGCGAGGAAGAACACAGTTTTTCCCATCTAATGCATGAAGACCCATACTACAATGCAGAGTAGATTTGGTGTTCATATTGCAAGAAAACTTGAAGAGCTGAAAGAGTGCAGAATATAACTATTTGCTATTTCCTATGGCTACGGACTAAGTCTTCTAATCCAGAATGGAGATCTCTTGAAAAATACCCATGCATTGGTCAAGCAGCACTATCACTGGACTCCAGAGTAAACAACTGAGGTACATGAAGACTCCTGTACTTCATAAAACTATGAGCTCACATTATTCTGTCTGGCCTCACCTTATCCATTTTAGACAGTTGTCACAGTCAGACTGGCTGCCAAAATCCCTTCAGCCCATATACACAATTGGCTATAACATTAGAGATAACATTGAGATTTCCAAGTTAAGCTACTGTGTGTTATACATAAATACTACCATCTGAGAATTTCAAGATCCATCATGCTACTGTCATCATGGCCATAACCATACAAACTTACACCTTGCCTTACTCTTATCCTCAGCATCCCAGCTGCATACACAAACGCATCCAGGATCCTAATCCTCCTCATCCCCCTCCCCAAGATGCACCATATCTATCACCATTCCTGCATCCCCCCCAAATCCACACACCTCTTCCACCCCAGTCCCGTTTTATTTTGTAGGCTCTCAAATCCACGCTGTTCATTTACATCCTGCCTCATCTAATCATACCCATCTTTCTCTCTGCTTAAGAGGCCAGTTTTGGGTTGGAAGAAAAACATTTTAATTTGTTGCCCCAACATTATCAGCTCTATTTTCACTTACAGAGCTTTTAATGTCAAGAGCTACCTTTCATGAGCACATCTAACACTAGTGTTTACAGCTTAAAAAAAAGACAAAACAATTGAACAGCCAGGAAAAAGGAAATAAAAACAAACAAACAAAACACCCACACACTTTAAATCACATGCACAGGAGTTGGTAAGGAGAAGGTCTAGATTTTACACAGTTCATTTACTAGTCTTTTGACAGTGTTTTTTGAAGGAGTTCCAGCCTGCTTTTTCTTCTGCGTAGATTTTAGTAGTGAATCTAAACCTGGGATCAGGACACTGTCAGTTCCTTCTCTAGTTATTTACCTGCACTGTACTCAGTTTTTGGTACATCTCTAACAGCATGGGGGAAGTGGTAAGTATCCATTACATATCTCATGTCAAAGGATGTGTAAAGTCACTACATTATTCCTGAAAGTAACCATCTGTGTAATAATTATACTGAAGATGTATTTCAAGATAGGAACAGATTAGAAGGAAGGGCAAGCATGCCTCTACTTACCAGCTCATTAGCTTGATCTATTGTAAATACACTGCAGTTTACTCTGTTTCCAATGTCAATGTGTGAATCAGCTAACAATGAAATGAGCTGTTTACATTCGTTCTGCATTCGTGTAAAAGGAACAGCAATTTCATCGTAATAGAGATGTTCAGAAAGGACCCCAAGTAAGCGAGGCTGCACACAAATGGCCACAGTTCTACACTCCTGTAACAGGAAAAGACACCATTTTTATTCCCGAGTAATCACAACTTCTGTTGCTTAGTTCTGGGCACTAAAAAGGGCAATCTACCTACAAAAAAAAAAACCAACACTTTCTAGAGGGACCATTAATATTTGTAATCCAGATATGAAATATTACAAACAAACCCATCAGTCTGCTATGAGAACTGAAGGGACAGTGAGAACAGGGAAGACAGTCATGTTAAAAGGAAGCCTTGACCTTAAATTACATGCTTCTTGAGAAGAGACATTTGTAGAAGAAATGTGAGCATATTTACTGATTCATAGCTCCAACAGTTGGCGTTTAGCTACGAAGTAATGTATTCCTCCATTGCCTACAATCAAGATTTTAGTATTTAGATGTATAAGTATGATTACAGCTTATCAACTGAAATTTCATTTCAAGCTAAGTAGCAGACGACAAGCTGTGCACTGAGATAGTGAGTAAAATTTAATTTTGCTGCAGAAACATCCTACCTTTTGCAAGGCTGCCCACTCACAGATTACTAATGCAACACTAATCCTCTGCAAGGCAGATTTAGAATTCAAGTGGAAGAGCAATAGCTGAGCTAATGATTCAGCTGGCTTTATTTCTTGAGTAACAGTATTTACACTTGGGTCACAAATGCAGCAACAAAGTGCTCCCAGCAACCTGACAAAAGGAGAAAGAACAGTCACCTCAGTGTTACAATTACCCTGCAATTAATGATTCAAAATGAAGACATCAAAAATGTCTACATAATTAGATTTTAGCAAAAGCACTATAGAATCCAAGAGATAAACTGTTTTAAAGTATTTTTTTTTTTTAAGATTTCCAGTAAACTGACTTTGCTGCCATCATCCGAGCTCGCATGACAACATAATCCCTGGTTGCTGGATCTTCTGAGATGCTGTCTGCCCCAGCAATATATTCCTGAATCACTTCCTTATTCTGGGTTTGACCTTGACGCAGTTTAGCACCTGCCTTTTCCTATGGAATAAATTTGGGAGAGATTGAAAGTAAAATGTGCTTGTGATAGAAAAGATGAATTCATATTCTGTAACATTCCCTGCAGAAGTTTAATTAAGCCAGAACATTTCTTGGATAGCAGACTTGACATAAAGTAGTTTACCACTGTAAATCACTTCTCTGCTAGTAGTTTCTGTGGTCCTATTAAATGTATGATATGTATAATATTAAAAATAACAACATTTGGCTGATAAACTGAGACCACATAGAGGAAAAAGGAAAACTCTCTCAGCATGTTTTCAGAAGTAACACAACCCTTTCAGACTTAACTCAGTCCTGCAAACAGATTTGAACCTGCAAACATGGTTTGAAACCATGATGGTTATGGAAGAACTTTATAAAGGATTCACAGGGAGCATGCTACATGACAGAAATTTGAGTTCTCATGGATAACCTGAAAAAAACTATTTTGCTCTACAGACTTGAGGTTTGTAAGGTAAGTTACATTTAGAGTTGTAAAAAGGCTCCATCACTCCCCTCTAACACCTTTAGAGCACCTTTATATACAGCTAAATCAATTTCCCACTTTCCCCAGAATAATTAGAGAGGTCACATTCTACTTACTTTTGATCTAGTTTTTACTTCTAGCAACATGTTTAAGTCAATGGGCAAGTGAGATGGCTGCATCATTAAACAGAGCCAGGCTCCCATCCATGGACAAGCAGCTGCAACCACATACTGTACAGATGCCTTGTTTAACAGTTCCAGCCATACCTTGGGAAAGAAGTGGAAATCATGACAAATTTGTATGGGTCTACATAAGATCATATGTGTGCTGATATACTGCTGGAACCATACAAGCGAAGGCTGTTCAGAGACCTCACAGCAGCCTTCCAATATCTGAAGGGGGCCTACAAGGATGTTGGAAAGGGACTCTTCATCAAGGACTGTAGTGATAGGACAAGGGGTAACAGGTTCAAACTTAAACATGAGAAGTTCATGTTAGATGTAAGGAAAGAGTTCTTTACTGTGAAGGTGGTGAGGCACTGGAACAGGTTGTCCAAAGAAGTGGTGAATGCTCCATCCCTGACAGTGTTCAAGGCAAGGTGGACAGAGCCTCGGGCAACATGGTCTAGTGTGAGGTATCCCTGTCCATGGCAGGGAGGTTGGAACAAGATGATCTTAAGGTCTTTTCCAGCCCTAAGCATTCTATGATTCTATCCTCCTTCACTATATAGTAAAATATCACATAGGCTAACTACAAAATAATTAACATGAACACACTATTCTTTATCTGCACAAAAGTGCAGAGGACATGAAAGAGCAGGATACATTAGCACTATATAGGTAGGTCATAAGTCATGCAAATACCTTGTGAATAAGATCCAAAATTTCTTGGTTGCTTTCTAAGATACAAAATTGAAATATGTGCCTCAACATGTCTTGCAGAATTGGAGTCAGCCATGTTGAAGAGCTCTGAAACAAGGATATTATGTGATCAAGCAGATTCCAATACATATCATAGTAAACCACCAGTAACACAAAATTCTTACCTGGTCTTGGGTGGACAGCAGTGTGAATAATGTCTCCAGTGCTGCTTTTCGCACAGAAGATATAGTATGATGCAGGAACGGCCACACACGTGGGACCAAAACTGTGAGTGACTGCTGAATACTAGTACACGAAGTGGAGATGCCGAAGCCATGAGAGGGGAAAAAACCACAAAAATAAACACACAGAGCCAAGTTAATTTTGTTTATCTTCAGACAGAAAGTTCAAGCATGTATTTTTACCATGTTGTTTCCCAGATTATGCTTTGGGCTTTGTTAAAAGTATTCAGGAAAAAAATGGGAGGTTTCGTTTTGTTATTGTTTTAGAAATAATTAAAAACAAGCCTGGATCTTTTCGGCAGGAATTTGCACCTCAAGTGATGCAAGCAGGACATGCTGAATTAAAGACAGCATTAGTGACAAGTTCATTCTTAATTTTGGATTTGGGTAAAGGCCAGCTTGAGCAGTGACAGTCATACAGAATGATAAAACATGTGTAAAGCATCTACCTTTAAGCGCAGATGCTGTGAGTTTACCATGTGGAATATGAAAAATGTTAACATACCAACATGCAATCCCTCTAATCTGACAGAGTCCCAAACAGATAGGAACTAGCCATTGTCTTCAACCAGTCACAGAATTACTGGTTGTCCTATTGATGTAAATTTTCACATTTGTAGCTCTTTGTAACTGTTCAGATAACAAAGTCCTACAGATACATGCATGTGTTTTAAAGTATGCAGATTGGAGCCTGTCAACAAGAAGCAGACAAAGCCTGTGGCAGGACCACTATGAGTGGAGCTGATAGCCTTCACTAAAATACTAGAGATGAATGGAGAGAGGAGAAAAACTACATCACATATAAACAATATCTAGTACCTTTTAATTATTTTGTTGTCTTTTACTAATGTAATGAAAATAGAAGCGCTGTCCTTCACTTTAAGGAAAAGCAAGAGTAAAATTCCAAAGCTGATTTAAATCAAACATCCATTTGGCATGCAATCTGAAAGCAACTTTGATTATTCCAATTTGAAAATAACTGGACAGTTAAAACTGGAATACTGAAGCAATACTAATGAGAAAGTTACCTGCATTTGCGGACCTGAGGATAAGTCAGAAGGGAAGAAAGAAGGATCATGATACTGTTTGTGGAAGCTGTCAAGTCATCCAACTCCAGAAGTGCATCCCACAAGGTATTAAGAATAAAAGGCACCTACACAAATAAGCAGAGGAGGTTATCTTAAAAAAAGTGCTGCCTCTAAGCATTATTTCCTTCACCCAGACCAAAAGTGAACTTTTCCATCAGAACTGACAGAAAACAATTCAGTCACCTTCTGAGACTGAAGTTGGACCAGACTTTCCACTACTGGTACTAAAGATGCTGCAGCAACAGCTCGGACATCATCATCCAGATCTTGGAGACCTTCAATTATTGCAGGCAGCACTTTAGGCAATAAAGTGCTGATCAAGTCCTGCCAAAAAGATCAAAATAATTTTTAAACTTAAAAAGCATATAACACCCCAAACAACTAAGATGTACTCTAAGTGTGGGAGTAAACCCATTTGTTGCAGGAAACAGAAGCTAGAGGTCCAAGCTGACAATCTAAGTATTTTAAGTTACCATTCATGAAGTAAAACCTAGGTTATAAATTTGAATGAACTGTAACCTGGCTCTGTTTGTTTGTAAACAAAGCTCAGTGTTTGCAGAACAGTATCATGAACACACTAAACCTTTGTAGCAGTGATCTCTCTTAACCTCACACATGAAAGCATCACCAAAACCAGACAAGCATATTTGTAACGTAACTTGTCACACTACAACAGTACAGTTTTGCTATATATGTGCAGATTTCTGCAGCCTGGATATAAAATTGCAGTCACACATCTTATAACCCACATGAGACTGCAGTGCAAGCAAGCCTGCTTTATCGTATCTATCTACTGTTCAGCCACATCCTCTACTTCAAGAAGAGCTTTTTGTTCCAAAGCTCTCTGCAATTTGTCATGAGGGTTATTACCTGACGTACTGCCAAAGCATACTTTATTCCTAGCAGACCACCGTGTCTCACTTCCCATTGTTCCTGTGTCAGCAGCTTCAGGAGAACATCCACAGTTTTGTGAACTCCAGTCTCATTCATATGTTTCAATACGACTCCCAAAGTCTGAGCACAAGTCTCACGTACCGGTGCTACCACCTAGGATAAAGTAAATCGTAAACAAGTTATTTTTGTGTGAAATCTGACTTCGAAACCTGTAAGAGTAGTCAGATGACCTAAACTGCTAGACAGACAAGGTGAAATCTCTCAGCTACTTTGTAATAAGCATCTGTGAGCAGTTACAAGCAGTAGCCCTGTACAAAGCATAGCTGATCTGCTGCAGTATTATCTCTCACAGAAATCTGCTGATCTACCTGTTCACTCAGAGACAACTTACTTCATCTGAAACAAAGTCTCCAAATCTGTCTAATGCAAACACACAAAGGAGTCTAATAACCAGGTCTTCCAGCCACTCCTGATGCTGCTGAACCATCTGTAAAAAGAGAGAAATTGAACACCTTGACTGTATTTACTCATAAAGGATTGCCAATATGCTTGTTTTAGCTAAAATTTGAGAGATGTGGCAATGTATTTAAGTTGACCGAGTATAGCCACCTCACAGAGATAGTCAAAGCAAAATAGCACTAATTCAGCTCACTGGCTTATTACAAACATTTTTTTAAAAAACAAGGTAGCTTTATCAAAAAGCTACAAAGCACCTTGTAAGGTAGACAGATAATTTATTATTTAATATACACAGCACTCAAAGGTAAGAGTCATTCAGTTACCCTTACTGACTAATGTCAACACATCCAAGGCAAGTCAATTAATATGCTTTAAGAATATTTACAAATAAGCTATGAAACCATACATCACTGCGGGAGACCCAGTGGAAGGAACTTGTGTTTCAGCCATGTGTCCTCCAGATTTAACAAAGCAATTTAGACCAAACTTGTCTTGAAGCTCTGGCCTCTGTTAAGAGACCCAATGAGACCTCAGTGTTAATGAGACCCAGTTCTGTAACTCTGCATCTCAGTAGAAACCCATAGAAGCAAATGCTCAGATATCACCTTTCTCATCTTCACTGTTTGCCTTCTAGACCACCACTTCCTTTGAAAGCTATCATTTTAATGAACAAAAGTTTGATCGTACTATGGATTTCATATTCCCATACATGTCAAAGAATTATAGCTGGCATATAGCATGTACGGCAGCCTTTGAAGCTAGCCTGGAGTACATATACTCTTTCCATAAACAGTTAAACTGTTTAAAGTACATTACCATTGCAGCACGTGTTACTACCCTGCAATCTCTATGGAACAAATACTACTCCGTGTGGAAGCAAGAAGAGATAGTAGCTTTTGCTTTACCTATATATACCGTATGCTGAATTAGCTTGATTTACATTTGATAAATATATTTCCTCATTCTTCAGCACTCTCTAAACCACAAGCTCTCCCAGCTGCTCTTACAGCAGAGAAGTCGGTATGAATCTGGATGAGATTCGCTATTAACAAACAAGCAGTTACTGTTGGGATATTTTGAAAAAGTATTTTCCTTTTAAATAGGCTGCTTAAATAACTTTTCTCATAATAACCAAGCAAATTGATAAGAGTCACCTTACTAGTTAAGTGAACAGAATTAGATGGTCTGAGACATTTCACTAGTGTGACATGATTAACTTCCAGTCATGGTAAGGGTGTGCTGAAAAATAGTATTTTCTAGTATGGAAGCTAGTGTTTAGTAACGTTACACACAGTCTGCATATTAATGGCTGCTCATACAATAGTACTGTTTCTTGAACAGGCCTTTTAAAAAGATACAGTGCATACAGTGATTTCATCCAGATTGTTTAGAGCAGACTAATCTCATAGTTTATATTCTCCCCGATCAGCCACCTCTTGCAGAGCTTAAGTATGTTAAAGAAGCCCATTTTCTAAACTTCATTTAAGTAAACATATTAAGTCTACGTGACTGGAAACTTACCTCTTCTAAAGAGCTATCTCCCATTTTACCACCACTTTTACCATGAGCTTTAAGTATCTCTCTCAGTCCAGTACCTGCACCATGTCGAACCTAGAAAGTGAAATCAGAAGTCAAATTTTAAATATTTAGGAACAAATACAAAGATAAAAGCCACACTAGGTAACTGGAACACTTCTTTATAGAAAAGTTTCATGATTAGACCAACTCATATACTAATCTGTCTGAAACAAACCCATTTTTTTCTATGTATCTCCCAGCTCGCAAACAAAACAATTAAGAATTGCTTCTATTTTCTAACACAGAAGATATTGTTATCATATTTGTAGTAGCGTAGCCAATGAAGAGTTTTCATTTAGTTTTACCTCACTATGTTATAAAACACTAGTTTTCAGAAAGAGCAACTAGAAGATATTATCTTATCAGTAAGCTTATAAGAAAAACAATATTCATGTATTTCTTAAACACTTTGTATTTCTCTTCGTATTGTATATTACATTTATGTTTCTCTACAACTCTCCGTATTTCTTAAAGAGAGTTTGGACCCTCACTGAATACTTTGGGATCTGCCAAACAAATTTCCGAGAATTACTATTCTGTATAGCTTACAAACCTGCCTTGCTTGCCTAAATATCAGAAGTGAACAAGTGATATGAGAAAGCAAATTACAGCCACTTTTATGTTCCCACCAAACATGGGACAGTTGAACACACTAAGTAGTTTTGGAAATGGCAGAAGACCAGAAGATCTCTGCTACAGATATACCTGTCTGTATACTGATACTTTTGATACACACCTGGACTAGTAATTGGCTTGTCAAGAAAAGTCCACTCAATAGATACACAGAAAGTTTCAAAAGCAAAATTTTGGACTAGGTTTTCAATGAGAAGCCTTTACATAGGTTATTTTATAGGTTAAGGACATTTCATATACAACCTTGTTGCTAACAGAAAACTGTTGCATTTCATTTTATGATAGTAGCAACTAGAACCAAGTAGTTGGTAGGTCCTTCCTTAGAGTATTTTAGATGAAATGCAATCATATACATCCCACACGTACAGCTCAGTGGCTGTTAGTAAAAGCTAAAAGCCAATAAAAACAGTCACAAAGCCTAATCTTAAGTCTTAATTGTTCATAATACAGCAATCATTTGTTTATTTGGTCCAAGACTGCTTATGAGCTAGCTTTTACAAGCCAAAAGAGGAACAGTTTGCTAGTTAACTTCTCAGCTTCCGCAAACGCAAAACAATAGCAAGACAAATGACGGAAATACCAGTAGTAGGATTCATCTTGACTGACTTCAGCTGCCCATAAGGCAGGAAAGCAATGTGAATTACTCATCCAGACTGCCTCAAGACATTGCAAGAAGATGCCACAGGGCAATTTCATAAACATGTATTTTGAGGTAGTTTAACCTGGTTTCCATCCAGAACATACCATAATAATGATTCTGGATTGATCTACTTCCTTAATTGTGTGTGCTCTGTATCAAACGTACGAAGCAAGCTATGAGCATATATGTGCATTCCAGAAGACAAGTGGACTTTGGCTTCAACTGCAAACAGCCTGATCTCAAATAAGGGGAGGATTATTAGTTCAGATGCAGTGATGTGCCAAACAAATATAATCATCCTTTTTCTGTGCCCAAAATAATTGGGCTGTCTACAAATGACCTACCTCTGTGCTTCCAAGTTTTAGGTCCACATGGGCAGAGCCCGTCACTGAAACTGTGCTATAGATATACCTGAGTATGTTACAGTTAGTGTTAACATTTGATCATTCAAAAGATCAACTTTTTAATGTAAAAACTGAAGTTAGTTGACAACTGTTATTTCCATCTTCCACTCAAGGAAGAGAAGCTAGTGGCAGCTACCTCCTATTTTTGCTTGGAACCGGTATCAAGGTTTGTGGAAAATAGTACAAGGATTGAATAGAAGCTGAGCAGAACAGGTTTTTAATCTTGAAAACCAGTTGCCTAGGCAACCAAATATATAGTTTTTGTAGTTGGTATTTACTATCACTGGGGAAAAAAAAATTAAAAGTTTCTATAAATGAAGATAACTAATGATTTGTAACCTATCCCCCGTTACCAAAGGAATGATTCCCCACCTTTTCTACTCGTTTAGCATTAAACATGTTGCTGTCATCAGCAACACTTGTACAATATTGGTCAAACTCTTGGCCCATTTTAATTGCTTAATCTTTTGACCATAGATTCATGTGCTTTTATTTTGCTTGAATTCCAATACTTCCAAAATTCTCATTTATAATCCCTGCTTTCCATATCTTTCCCATGATCCACTTGAGTATACATTACACATCTGTTTTCATTTATATTTTAAACAAGTCTTTAAAAACTCTAAGTTCTCTAAAAGCAGATTTGTCTCAGCTATGTTGTCTGTACTTACTAGCAATGTAATTTTTGATATCTAACAAAATGCTCTTAAGTCCTACACATACTTTACACCTTAGATACTGCACATACATCTTACCTCCCAAGAAGGGTTAAAGAGATCATTGCACACCTCTTCACAGAAGCTTTCCAGAGGCCATTCATTTGGCTAAAAATCACAAAAAATAAGATGAAAAGAGAAAGAGATCAGGCAAGCACTTCTTATATTGTATGACATTTAGATATGTGAAGGTAACAAAGACCTCCAACAGGTTAAGTATTTTTCTTCATTACAAGACAGAATTGAAAAAAAACCCCAAAACTAACAACCTTCTTCCACACTTTGCTGATTGGCAGTGGATCTTTTAAAAAGCTTATGAAGTTTGTCTGTTAGTAGTGTAACCTCTTCTCTATTGCAATTAATTTTTATGTTCTGAATTCAGCCTCCTTTTAGGAACCATGCTAAGGCAGAATATTAAGCAAAGTTCCTTATGCTCTCCTGTGATTCTTTAAGAACTTCACCTGTAAAGGATGGAATGGGCAGGTCTCAGTTTGAAATTGCACTACATAATCAAATTGTGTCAATTAATGCAGTAATAAACACCCCTCTTCTCAAAACACATTCCACATTTTTGAAAACCAGAAGCATATCCACTATTTCAAAAATTCCTACAAGGGAACTGTATGGCTGTGGAAAGGAAATTATGATAGTAAAATAAGTTCACACTATTACAAACCCAGCATTTGAAGGGCTAGCAACCATCAGCTACTCAACCTGAAGTTATCATTCATCTCTCAAATTCATTTTCCAATCATCGTTTCTCAAATACAAATTTAACTACTAAGAATTTTAATTACTGGAAAACCCCTTATTTTTGTAGCATTCAGATTAAACAAGATAAGTTTCTACGTATCATTTGTATTTCTCATTTCTCAATTCTTCAGCTTTTCAGCCTATTGAAACAAATGCAAGATTTTCTAAGACTAAGATAATTATTTAAATCTTCAACTACTAAAGATAGAACTTGATTCTAACTTAAACCTAATGAAAGTAAGGCAAAGATTATTTAAAGTGTACATGAACATTTAGATCAAATTATTTATGGCTTGGTGTAATCCTATCATCTAAGTGTTTAGCACAGTTCTACAGCTTAATACCCAGGTCTGACACCTGTAATCCATCTACTCAGGTTCATTTGGGTCACAGACTGCCACTAATGGGTTAAATGTGAACACTATACACAGTTTGAAGTTCATTTGCTTCATTACATATAAAAGTAAACTGGCAGTGGCATTCTTTACACCATTTCTCTGTATGCAAAAATGACTAAAGAATTCAAGAGCACAAATAAGTTTTCATTTACATCACCGATAAACTGGCTGATCAAAAAGAACTACACATCATGCCTCTTCTGGAGCATTTTCTACCAATGCTTTTGAGTCTGTGGCAGGCTGGTTGATGACAACATTTGCAACTTTTCTTCTCTTTTCTTCTGGTTCCCCATCAGTGCTATCATTGCTATGAAGGAACAAGTATAAGCTTATGAAGGGAAAGTATGCTTATGGGGAAGTAATTCTACAGCTGAAGTGCTGAAATACAATAGTGTGGCAAGAATAAAAAAACATGAGGTTTAACACTGAAATATGTGAAATAGATAAGTCTACATGTAAAAAAAAAAAAAAAAAAACCAGTTAGGACACAGCAGAATGCTGTCCCAGATTGGCAATCCTTCTCAGCCTTTTCCAAGAAATACAGAATGTCTTAGTAAAATCAAGGAAAGAATTTTGTTTACTGCTTGTTTTAAACACAGTAGGTACAATGTCACTATAAACTACAGTGAGAAACACAGCATACATCAGAAAGTTATATTTAATTTTTAGTTATCTTCTTAAATCCCCCATTTTCATGCATTATTCTCAAGCCCTATTTAACAACAGGGACAAACCACAAACTAACTGTAGCATCCCACTATTTCAAGATCTCTCTGAAGCTAGGTCCTTAACAAAGCTCTACCAGGGAAAAAGCACAGCTTTTACCAACAGCACAGTTAGCATGTAAGATTAAGATACAAAGACTGTAAGAAGTTTTTCAACTGACAAGCTTGAATTGTGATGTAACTGAAATAAAAGCAAACCAATTCACAATTATACCTCTTCTCATTAGTTTCCACTGCATCTCTGGATCTTTGCTTTGCAAATAGCTTAGCCATTCTTTTGGCTTTATTCTTTTGTCTACTGCTCATACCAGCTCGAAATTCTGAGTCAATTAACTCGGCAGCCTGAAGAGTCTGAAAGACAAGTCATTGTCAATTTTCTTACAATGAAGGTCCTTATAAATTCTCAAACCCACATTGCTCTCAACCTCCCCAAACCTCCGTTTGACACTCAAGAGCAACAGTTTGACATCATATAATACTAACATGCAACTATGGGGTGTAAGAATTCAGAAAGCCAAAGCATACCATACCAGACATTGATCATCATACTTAAAATATAAAGATTATAACTGCAGAATCACAAATAAAGCAAACCCACTGTATTATTTCTTGCATTCAAACAGCCCGAGGTTTTACCTACAGGTTGTTTGTTTACTAGTGAAACTGAAGAAGGAGAGTAGTCCAGATCTTCATCATTGAACAGGTCTTCAGTATTCATCCCAATTGCAGCACCCATATCTAAGCCAAGTTTCTTCTGTAACAGTTTCCTCTGTCGTGCTATCCTCTCTTTAGGATCAATTTCACCTAAAAAAAAACCCAAAAAACCCAAAACAAAAACAAAAAACCAAACAAAACAGTTTTTTTTTTAAAAAAAGGAAGTCTTGCCAGATTGCCAACCAGATGTACAATCTCTTAAATCTAATCACACTGACTCCTAGGAAGACCTTTGCTGCTGCACCTATACTAGGACTTAAACAGTGGTCATTTTTTAAGCAGTATCTCCCCTGCAATCCGTTACATTACACTTGTTGGACAAGTAAAAAACTAAGTTTTCTCTGCATTTTTAGGAAACTGTATTGTCAAAGTAATGAAACACACTAAAAATTAAATCCAGCAACTGATTCAAGAACTAGCACTTTTTTTACTGTGCACATGTATCACTGTGGATCAGCTGATTTTGGCAGTTGGTTTTCGGGGTGGGTTTTTTGGGGGTATGGTGTTTGGTTGTGGGGTTTTTTTAAGGTTTGATTTCCTCCTAACCTTAACCTTCTGTTGGGAAACACAGATATAAATAACAACCACCAATAAAACCCTCAAATAATATTCAATCCAATACCCTGTATTAAGCTAGGTTGAATGTGAACTTGTTTTCTTAGAAAAGATCTTCATTGTAAAAAGCACCAGATCCAGGTGTCTCCCTTCCTTCTACCCACACTAACTCCTGGTTGCAATGTAGGCTGAAGCATAAGCATGATTTTCCTAGGATGCTGGAGACTACTAACAATCTTATCCTCAATTTTCCTGTGTCAAGTAAGGCTCATTTTGGAAGTTAATAGAAGCTACCTCAAAAATGCTGCAAAGCTTCAACACTGTAATTACTGAACACCTAGACTAGGGAGCACTCACATTTACATAAATAAAAATAGGGTATTTTAGTGCCTGAGTAGAACAAACCCTTCAAGTAAACCAAAACTTGTAGCTTGTAGGGCTGTTGGACTTCACTCTCCTTTTACATGTGCAGTATGGAAGCCAGTCAAGAGACTTTGGGGGGGAAGGAGGACAGGGAGCAAATATGTGCACATAAACTTGCAAGTAGGTGAACAATACTGGCAGAGTTTTGGGGTACACGCCAGGCTGAGCAGTAATTAGTACTTAATTATATCTATACCAGTAAGTTGTTTTGGTGGTTTTTTGATTCTGGTTTGGTTTTTTTAATAGCATTTAATTGGCAAACAGAGAAATACAAACAACTTCCACTCTCTAAAAAAAATATTTTATCTTTCACAAGTTCATCTTAAGAAAAAGTACCGAAGACTGATAACTCTGAAGATTATTTAACTTGCTTTACATCCATTCATGTTGGCTACTTACTTGAAAAGGAAAGCTGCTACAAAACAAAGAGAATGTACATTTTCCCACCAGTTAAAAAAAGATCATAGAATGGTTAAGGTTGGGAGGGACCCTAAAGATCACCTAGTTCCAAAATTCAACAACTAAAACTAATTTTTATTTCATTTCCTTAATTTTCTATATTGTATTTTTTCATTTATTTTAATTCATAAAATTTACATGCAATCATATGACACTGGGATAAATATCAGACTTCAATGAACTAAAGTGTCCTAGTCCACCTACTTTATTTCTGAACAGGTAGAGTTTCATTAGAAGAGATGAAACTTGTACAACACCGTATTATGCTAGCATAAAATACGGCAAGCAATAAAACAGCAGCCAGGATTAACAGGCAGGATACTACTTAAGAGTCAGCAGCCATAGGTTCTGTTTCTCGCCGAGCTAGTGATCTGTGTACACTGCAAGGAACACATCACACACAAGGAACAAGTAAATCAGGGCTATGCAGTCAGAGATGATTCTTATCTATAGCATCATTTCATTTGGTGCAGAAACTGGAAGATGGACTGGAATTAGAGCTAGGAAGTACAGTAATAGCAAAAGAAATCTTAGCTTAAAATGCCATTACAGTGATATAAAGCAACACTGAGCTAAAAGTTGCAGAAATATTTCAGACAAGTCACTTGAAACCAAAGACATCACACAGGCACTGATATTTTACCTTCCAACTCTGATGGCTTTACCATAGTATTTCTAATTCAATCTTTCTATACTTCGAAGGCTTCAAGCTTTTAAGCAAGTCACATCCTACTACTGCATTTGGGAATGCTGTTTCAATGAAGAGCAAGTGGTGATAGTTCCTGCACCTCTTAGAAGTCTACAGAAGTTCTACAGAAGTCTGTAATACTGCTTTTTCTGCTCCCTCTTTTGGCTTTACACTCTCTTCTTCCCACTCTACGCATACTAACTGATGAGAGAAAACGTGAACAAACAATACACACCCCCTAAAAAAGTTGTTTAAATCAAGACAATACAAACCAGTTACATTGGGGAGTATTTTCCTCCTAGTTATTTCCTAGCTTTCTAAGAACCATGGATGACTAAATTCATAATACTGCCACAACAAACATTCAAATCAGTCTTGTCTGCAAGTAAAATATAAAGATATACCTGATTTATCATCTTGGACTTCAAATTCTGCACCAGCAGATCCAAGCAGAGATGCACCATGTTTTAACAACCGACATATATCAAATCTGTCAAAACGCAACCGATCTGTTGAAGGTGAATCTTCCACAGGACTTTCTGAGCCTGGTTCTAGATAGGACATTGAAAACAATATTAAGGACAATATGCTGACATTTTTGTTCAAAGGTCTGACAGAAGATTAAGTGAGAGAAAGAGGAAGAAGTAACTTCTCTCCTCCAAAGGAAATGGACACAGAGCATTTTGATTCATAAAGTTTAAAGGCTTTGTTTCACAAAGACAGACTGAAAAAGCTCACTTAATGCACTTAACTGAGTAGAATGTTCTTAAAGTGTTTTTTTTCTTGATAAATCTAGCTTTTTAAAATCTTGTACATTAACATACCACTAGGTCTTCTCTGTACACATATGGCCAATTTAAAGTTTGAACTGCATATGGCTCACAAATAGTTCAAACAAGTATCTTATCAACACTATATACCATACCTACAACAGCAAAGCATCCCTGGTACAGAAGCTGGAGAATAGCCTTAACAGGTATAGGAAAAAGTCAGTACCAAGTGGGCTGCTGAATTCTAGTTATCAGCTCTTCTCAAATCCAGTTGCAGGTATAGTGCAGTTCAATACTGATAGAGAGAATATTTGTTCCTCATAAGGTGTCATTTCCTGGTTACAATCCACTTCCAAAGTACACCCTCAGCACTCAAAGATTAGTGTTTTGTGGCTCCTAGTCATGTGCAGCTTAGTATCCAAAAGGACTGGCTATTCCTACATAATCCAGCATGCTCACATCCTGAATTACAACCAGCAGTATAAACATAAGCGTTACCTACAACAAATACATATCACATGCTCACACTTACTTAAGAAAGCTTGTTCACGTACAGTAGAATGAGCACAAAATACTGTATAAGATGTATAATAATAATTTCTTTGTACAGTGTGTACAGAACACTATATAAAATAAACACCACCTGCATTTCTTCAAATAAAGTTACCTAAAAGACAAAACAGTTGTCTTGTGAGGAAAAAAAAAAAAAAAAAAAAAAATGAAGATACTGTAACACTTCAACCTGGAGATAAGTTGTTGGAAGACGGTAAATATGACGGTTTACAAAAATAAGGCAGGCAGTGGATAAGGCAAATGCAGAACTTGCTTGTCAAATTCTACAGCAACAGAACCAGGAGACACTGAATGAAATAAATGAGATAACCTCAAAACACATACAAGATTTTTGTTGTTTTGGGTGGGGTTTTTTTAAACAGTGAACTTCTGGAACCTGTGCCACATAAGGTTGTAAACATAGTCCCAACAGGTTTAGACAAAAAAAATCAATGACAATAGGTCTGTAAGTTGACAATAAAAGCAACTCATAACAATTTCAGATGCAATATAAGTACAAACAGAATAGCCTTCAGCAAGTTGCCTTTTCACCTCCCTCAGAAAAGTGCTTTGAACAGAGAAACAGAGAAGCAAAAGCACATCTGCAAAATATAAAGATGAATTTAACTGGTTAAAAGTTTTGAAATTTTATGAGTTTTATTCCTTTTATTTATAAGAGCTTTCTGAGGATACAGAGCACAAGCACAGGAACCTTAGAAGAGACAAAGGTCAGGCATATCATTGTAACTGAATATGAACTTCTAAAGCCGAAGAGGTTTACTACAGTCCATGCATATTAAAAAAGTCTATGCTCATAAAAAAACAGAATGACAGAGCTGCCTTAAAAAGTCTCATATCACAGTCAATCTACATCAGATGAACAATGACTTGTACATAATTAAAGAAATACCTTGTTTTGATCTTGGTGTTGGATTCCACTCAGGTACATTTTTCACTATTGCTTCAACAGCCTGGCCAGCTGCAATACGGGTATCCCAATTTGTACTTCTTAAATACACTAACACCTTTAAGGAGAAATTAATAAATAATTATTGGCTTAACATGTACTTTCACAAAATCCATCAGGTATTATGCTCTATTTAAACACACTCACTTTTTTATGCTATGGGTTAAGACAACATTCAAAACAACAAAAACAAAGTACAAGGAATCAAACTAAAGAAATGCAAGCAGCCTTCTCTACTGCTCACTGCTTAGGAGAACTCCTGCTAATAGCCAGACATTAAGAATTTATAAGATATACTTATTCCCATCAGTCAAACTCAACCTTGATTTCCTCCAGGTACTGAACAAGACTCAACTTTTTTTTTTTTCTTTCTAAAAGGAAGTGTTCAAAAAGAGATTAATAGACCTGAAAACTCTGAAGTCATTTAACCCAAGAAGAGGGACAACATGGGTCACTTGAAGCAATACAAGCTCTTCTAAACTAATTTACCATTGTCTCAAATCTGGAAAAACTATTTCTTTCTCTGAAAATGGTTTGCTATTCATGATTTCTTGACCACTCTGTTGGTACCATCAATTGTGGCGAGGGCACCTGTTCAATAAGAGTAGAATTGAGGTCACTCAGCCATCTCCAGCTGTCAGATACATACTATTTTTGTTTTTACTAGACTTGGCCAGATTGAAGTCTCAAACTAATGGAAACCTCTTTCCATTTTCCAGCCCTTTTAAAGACATGCAGTCTTCTATATTTTTAATGCTTTATCACACAAGTAACAGTCTTTAAAGGCAGAAGCAGGAGTTTTTATAAGGCCATAAAGTTTCACTTTATAGAAGAAACTCTGAACTTACAGCAAACAGTGAATATCAGAAACCTGACTTACATAACCATTTTGGAGGCTAACAAAACAGCAAGCTTAACAGAATTACTCTCCTAATTTTCTTTGACTACTATGCTTTTTCTTCCCACAGAATCCACACCCCTTTGAACTAGTTTTATTCTCACCATTAAAGTACTGGAAAAATTAAACAAAAAAGATGCTTACTTTAGATAAGAGATTATTCAGTTCATGAGGATGCAGTTTCACTACTTCCCCAAGTTGCTGTGCAGCTGCTTTTCTTGTTACTGGTGTTGTACCAGTGTCCAGTAAAATGAAGAGACGATCAAGCCTAAATATGATTGACAAAACCCAGAAATGTTATGCTATTCATAGTTCAGCTGCCCATTTCTATTAATATGCTCCCACATTTTTCAGTTTCTCATGCAAACAGAAGAAATGTTGGCATGAACACTGTCAACTGACAGGTTGGCAAACATACTTTTTTCTAATAGTAAGTACAGTTGTTCTAAAAGAACATTTAATTTGGTAAGGAAAAAAAATAAAAATTATAGAAATTGTTAGAAACATTAGTTCAAAAAATCTGCAGTTACAAGAAAAATTTAACTTGTTCCCTTCTTTGCTCTGTGACCGAACATTTTCCAACTTAAATACTGTTAAGCTGCAAATGATCTTCATCAAATTCTGTCTGATAAAGCAAATGGCTCAACTGCTTGTATTGTGCATTATAATTTCTTTTGAAGACTTAGTCTGTGATCTATAATATCAAACTCTGCATTCCCTTTATACCACAAATTTTTACTTTTCACATATTTCCTCCCTAACTACCTGAAATATATAAGACCAAACCTGCTGTCGTATTTACAGCTTTGAGAGAATCCAACACCTCTGGCCCTCCCAAGAAATACAGGAATTTAACCAGCAGATCTCTTTTCTGTATTGGGTGAAAGAGACCCTGAGCATACATTTTCAGAAGCTGTAAATGAGAAATAGCTAACCACATTTCATCATACAAAAAGTATGTAAAAATAGAGACTACCTAGATAATCCAATCAATGATGGAAGGAACAAATGCTCATTATTACCTCCACTGTAAGGGGGACAGAAGTCTCTAAGGCCTAGTTTATCTATTAGTTATTGGGCCGTATGAGGTTATTACTGAATGCAAGTCTGGAATATGTCTATATAGTACAATCAAAATTATTCCTTCTAACTTAATCATAAAAATACTCCTCCAAATATTGCAATAATACGAAGCTTGAATTTACACAGCAGAGAAGGTCACCTAGATCACAGCCTAATGTAATAAGAATAGTTTTCCTGAACAACAAGCATTCCTCATAAACACATACCCTAGGTTTGAGCAAATACAGGAAAGGACAAATGTTTTGATTGTTAGTCTGTTGCTACTAATTACATTTTACCAAAATTGCCTTTAACATCCATTCCGATCATTAAAAAAAACCCCGAAACAAACCCAAAAAGAACTCTTTCCAACAACACTGGATTTTTTATTTTCTTTGACACACTTAGTGTGCACTTACTCCTGAGAGTATCTTGTAATGTGTTACAATGCATTAGAAACAGCAGTGCTACAGCACCAAGGCAGTTATGTCACAAATACAGTTCCAAACCCCAAATGCTCTCACAACAGAAGGTACTAGACTAAGTAATATCCATTAGGTTAAAAAAACAAAAACAAAACCAAACCTGAAATCTGAAACTTGAAAGTATTTCAAATCATTCTAGTATTTTAGACACACGTCTCATATGGGCCAGCTTTGAAATAACTCTCTTCCTACTACTAAAAAATGTGAACCCATTTCAATTTCTGTATATAAAACTGGAGTTTCAATTGCTGTGATTTACTACTTAAATTGTTTTCAAGTTACACAAAGATGAAAACTCAAACTTATCTAAACCAGCAGTTCTGTGTGATTAGACAGTCAAGGAGAAAAGCAAAAGCTTTACAGATCCAACTCTTCCAAATCACTGAGAGTGGGCTGGTCAGAAGGAACATACCAGATACTTATTTACCTGCATTTTTGCCTTAGTACACTTGACAGTAATAACCTGACCTGATCTGCAGCATTCAATATTATGCCAGCTTGCAGAGCAACCACAGCTTGCTCCAACTTGCTTGTTCTCTCCCCTTTCATTCTTCATTTCCCAGTGAAACTTCAACGTTCCATACTCAAGTTTGCCATTTAGCACCACCCATTCCGTTAACTATCAAAGTTGGGTTGGGTTTTTTCCCTGCCATCTCCAAAGTCAAGCAGAAAGTGAAATTAGGACCACTTTCTTACCTAGAACTCTTCGTATGTCAAAACAGGAGGAAACCACTATGACTGCCTACCCTCAAAAAATCTCAAGTTTAATTCCAATCTTCGCTACAACACTAGATATTCACTCCCAAAAGACGTAACTTTTTGAAGCTGTATTACCTACAAAATACAGCAGTTTATTTCCTTTGGATTTTTTTTTAACCTGCAGCATGCTTGGTTTGTAATTTGTGGTTTTAAATTGCAATATGCTTAACTGACACACAAATGCAAAATAAAAAAAAAAAATCTACTGTCTCACATCACTATAGGAAGGTTTCACTGTTGGAAGGGTAGCACTGAGAAAGCTGCCACTGATAAGCAGCACTAAGGCTTTTTTAATTCAAACTTTTCATTCTTAGTTTCATTAAGAATGAAAAAAATACTCAAAATACTAAAACTAATTTTGAGTACCTGCAGCTTGGAAAGAAATTTCCTAAGTTCTGACAAGGTTTTCATTCTCAGAATGGACTAAAATCTCTCAATTAGTAATTAAAGCCAAAGAAAACTAAGGTTTTTCTAATGGCATGTGGTTCTCTGCCTCTCATGCTAGACGGTGCTATAAGCAGAGCACTGTGTGGCTCACACAGTTCACAAACCTAACACTGAAGTCCAAATCAGCGTGGCAGAGTGAAGTGCTCTAATAGAGGCATTAGAAAGCTAGTACTGGGATAGTTAATGACCAGGTCCAGATACAGAGGTTATCACCAGTATCTCCAAAATGTTTACAAAAGAAGACATATGCAGCTGAATTGTATAAAGATCCTGATCATCCCACTGTAAGCACTGTGACTGGATTGGGTCCCCACAGAACTTCAGATGGGGAAACTTCCAGTTTATTGATTTCAGTAAGTCAGGGCTTGAAAGGGACTATGAACTGATCACTGCTGCCAATGAAGTGATTTGTTTGGACTCTACATCCATGTGTGCGCCAGTATGTTCAGCTGGCCAGGGAGTAGTCACTGACAGTAAATGCCAACAGCTCACAACTACCCCAGCATATCCTGCAACCCACTAGAAATGTGCACCTGTACAAAAACTCCTCAGTGGCATAGTCCCTGGAACACTCTAATGTCAAACTGCCTAGAGCTCTTTGGAAAACTTATCTAGCACCCATCAGAAGGCAAGGGAATACTCTTTGGTATTTATGGTATAAATCATATTTCAACACCCAGGAGCTTCCTCCCAGGCATGCTTTCTAGGCACATAAATAGCCCAGAAACATAGAAAACATTGATAAATCAAAATTTAGACTTGACAAGGGTTGACAACCATGGTGAAATCAAACATAAGTTCAAAAGGAGATGCTTTTCGTCTTGACCTGATAGTCCTTCAGTGGTGTTTTGTCATTTGGTCAAATCCCAGCTTGGTCAGCTTAAAAAAATAAAATCAAACCCCTAATAAAGCACACACAAACCATTAAATAATCAAGTAAACAACTTCCCAATAGACAACCAGAAAGCAAGAGAAAAATCACTGAACAGAATTCAGAACAAAAGTGTGATGACACACAGAGAATGGGTTGCTATTTTACTTCTCATAGGCGAGAGACTGCAAAGCAGTTATGAAGGTGGGGCTGTGGACAAGAGAAATAATCTTGTTTCCTACAGAGCAGTGGAAGGGACACCTTGAGTGAAACAAGAGCTCCACCACCACACTGGTCACAGTATTGTATGCTGTACACAGAAGCCAACTGAACACTAAGATTAGTGTATTTCCTATAATATGATCCATAGTATTAGGCAGTACAAACTTTATTTGTAAATTATTACATACGTATCTACATCAAACAAGGCAGTCCAAAAGCATACAACCAATCACATTACAAAAACTGTGAGAAAGAGTAAGAAATTAGAATAGCTGCAGAGACAAACAAATATATCGACAAGTTATACAGGGAATGGTGAGCATTCAAGTTCTAGCTGCTGAATCAGGTTAAGCTTCTTATCAGAATGCAATCCTCACTTTCAATTTTCAGTCTGTTAGGTGTTTGAGAAATTTTACAGCTCTACTCCATTTGGGCAGTACTGCACATACTACTTCCACTTTCCCTCTCCCCATGACTGTGTCAGCACTCCCTCCCACAAACAGCAACAGGAAAGGCAGCCTACTGTCTCGGTCTGCGAGTTCATAGAATCATAGAATAGTTAGCTCCACGAAAGAATTACACTTTTCTTCCCCTCTTTTGAGTCAGAACTGCTGTAATCACACCTGTTATAGAACATCTAGTTATTCTAATGATACAGGCATATGCCTTTAAATAGTACTGAAACATGCTTCTTGCTCAGTTTAACTCCTGCTTTTCATGCAAGAGCAGCCATGAAGCAATAGCTTCCAAAGCAGCCAGAAGCTGAATTCTTTCTTCAGAAAGCGTGGGATAACCCCAGAAGAACATTTCCAAAAGGTACATAGGGCCCATAAAAGAGATGTTTGGATAATTTTTGTATCTTGGTAAGAACTTCAACTTCCCAATGATGGAGTATTAAACTTGAAATGTTTTATAATGTAATGATGCCAGCCAATGCAGCCATTTGTTCCTGGGAAGTCACAGTCCTACATGTCAAAATCCAAGAACACGAGGCCAAATTATTTTCCAGGAGTTCACTGTCACAACCTTCTGACATTATTATTCATTTTAAATTAAAAACTAAGTTCTTATCTACATATTACCAATTATACACAAATCCAAGTAAATGAAAACATTGAAGACTCTAGAAACTTAGGAGGACCAAATTGAGAATGCTTTCAAGAGCAGCAAATTATGCTCTCCTCTAATTCCTTAAGGAACTGTCTTGAAAATACCCAGAAGAGGTTGTCTTTAAGGTATTTCAGGGTGAACTTTAAGATATACTATTGAAATATTATTAAAGTAATTTATTCTTAATGCATCTTACCAGCTTTGTGCATTTAATCACATTTTAAAAGCAGATTTGTTCTCCATCATACTTGAAGGCCCTCAAAAATAGGGGAAAGCCTCGGTGTTGGAACAATACCTGAAGTGCCTTTGACC